GGGGGTCTGCTTCCCCCTCTTCCCTCTTCCCTCTCGTGCTCTCTGTCTCTCATTCTCTCTCTCTCTCAAATAAATAAATAAAATCTTTAAAAAAAAAAAAATCATTTTGTATTGAGAAATATACATATTGGAAAGTACATATTGGAGCAAGCCCCCATGGAATTGCCATTCAGGTGAAGAAATAGGATTTTGTCACTCCCCCTCTTTTGAACACTGCCTGACTTTTCTGAAATGCTTCTGTGAGCCCTGTGGTTGTGACTTGCATTCTCCTCGCTTGCCACTTGCACCTGCCACACAGTAAGTTTGCCACTTACAGTCAAGTGGCTGGGCCTTGGGGTTCTTGGAAGTTTGATAACTTTGTTCATAACTTTGGTGACGCATGGGCTGCTCTGGGGTTATTTGACCTTTTGGCCTAGAGAGGAAATCTCTGCCTCTGGCTGTTTGTCTAGCTCCTTGCCTTGAGTTGGAAGGCACCAGGGTGGGAGGGGCAGAGCGTAACAGAGTGGGCGCATGGCAGGCATTCCCATCCCAGCTCTGTTTGGCTCTCTTTATATGACCTTTGAGTCACTTCCTTACAGACATGACTTTTCCTACCTATAAATTGAGGGATGGACCACATCAGTAGTTTAGCGATTTATATCCTTTAAAAAAAAATGATAATAGTTTAGCCCCTAAACTATTTAAAGCAAGGATCTCAAACTGCCTCCTGTGGGACTGCTCCAGGTCTGCAGATAGGTTTCATTTGGTCGTAATTGTGTTTGGAAAAGCATATGAGGGGAATCGGACGAAGGTGGTCAAAGATACAAACTTCCAGTTATCCATAAGTACTGGAGCTGTGATGTACAATGTGATGACCGTAGCTAACACTGCCATGTGATAGGTTTGAAAGTTGCTAAGAGAGTAGATCCTAAAAGCTCTCATCACAAGGGAAAAAACCAAATGTTTTCTTATTGTATCTATACGAGCTGATGGATGTTAACTTACTGTGTTCATCATCTCACCATATAGGTAAGTCAGGTCTTTATGCTATACATCAATTATATCTCAATAAACTCAAAAACGGAGAAGCGTATGAATGGCTTCTCATGGGGCATGCTCTTCAGGGTGCCACAAGCCCCCCCCCCACTTCCTCCAGCTTAAACCCTACGTGCTTCCCACTACGTTACTTGCCTGGCCTCTGAAGGCATCGTGTAACATACTTAAAAGTGAAGCTGCTCCAGCCCAAGTGGGCATATATGGGCGTGGCAGCCTGGAGCACAGCCCGCTGCTTGCCTCCTCATCATGGGCAAGAGCCCAAGGGTCCCATTGATCAATGCTTGACAGCATCTGGATTAGGTGGCCACCAAGGGCCTGTATTCGTGACAACTATCCCTCTCTGGCTCCATCTGTAGCAGATCACCCAGGAGATAGAGAGGGAAGTGCTGGTTGAGTGTTGAACCATCCCTATGTCCCCACTCCTGTCTGGGATCATTATTTTGTGATTATTTAGCATTTCAGACCCCCACTGGCATGCCGTATGGGACAGTGAACCTGCTTCATGGTGTGAACCCAGGAGAAACCCCTGTCACCTGTACGGCAGGCATCGGGACCTTCATTGTGGAATTTGCCACCCTGAGCAGCCTCACTGGTGACCCCGTGTTTGAAGATGTGGCCAGAGTGGCCCTCGTGCGCCTCTGGGAGAGCCGGTCGGATATTGGGCTGGTAGGTCGGCTGCTACCCTTTCTGTGTGAGCCAAGTCGGCCACCGTAGCCCCTGCTTGTAAGACTCGTGGCTCCGAGCAGTAAGTTGCAGCCCAGCCAAGGGACACTTAGGGTGACCTCAGCAGTGGCCCAGGCCTTACCACAGGACACTGAAAGTTAACCAAGCCTCCAGTGCAAGTTTCAGCCCAGGGGAAGAGAGCACGAGACAGCACATCCTCTGGCAGGGAGAGGGGGCTTTGTTGAGTTTGATTCCTTGAGCTTCTCTGATTTCTAGGAAGTGGGCCATATGCTTCTTGCCCGTGACTCACATGGCGACCTTAGATCGCCAGCCCATCTGGCCCTCATTTTTACTGTCTGTTTGTGTTTGTTAAACTGGGTTTCTTAGAACACCAGTGCTGAGAGATGTTGAATGGTTAGCACTGATGATCCTTGAGAAAACACAGTTTTGAACTGCGTGGGTCCACTTACACACAGATTTTTTACAATGCAGTACCGTAAACATATTTTCTCTTCTATATGATCTTCTTAGTAACACTTTCTTTTCTCGAGCTTACTTTATTGTAAGAATACAGTACGTAATACATATAACATGTGTTAATTGACTGTTTATGTTATCAGTAAAGCTTCCACTCAAGAGCAGGCTATTAGTAGTTAGGTTTTGGGACAGTCAAAAGTTATATACAGGTTTTTGACTGTGTGGGGCTAGGCACCCCAACCCCTCCATTGTTCAAGGGTCAACTGTAGTGTCTTTTTTTGGAGAATCATAATGAACATGAATAGGTTAAAGGTTATGAAATCCTCTGGTAAATAAATCTGTTTAACTTTGCTTAACTCAACATTTTCCAAACTTATTTGACCCTAGAGCTTCCCTTTCTTCTCCAATACCTATTAACCTTTGAGCCAGATGATCTCTAAGGTTGGTTTCAGCTCTTAAATCAGATAATCCAGTGAAACTAACAGTAATTGAGCCAAAGCTATCCAGGAAATAGCACTAGGTTTGGTCAGAAGTGGTCTTGGCCTTGCTACATCGAAACTTTGTGACCCTGGACAAGTCACTCAACCTCTCTGATCCTCAGTTACTGGAGCAGTAAAGTTGATGTATTAATAGTTCCTTTGGTGAGTCATTATGACTTGGAAAGATTGAGTTGTCTGAAAGTGATTCAAGCAGGGACACATTTTATGCAGGTCTGGTTCTAAGCTTGAAAAGTGAAACTTGTATGAGGAATCCTTGAAAATCCCTTAAGAAGATGCCACTCTGGAGACCTATAGTAACTCCCTTAGAAGGTCCAACACAAGCAGGTTTTTCTCCAGCACTGGAACCGCAGTGGACTCCATATCCTCTCAGCCCTTACCATCTCTCTGTGCACACTGGCCTGTCTTCCGACTGTATCTCTTTCCCTACGGGCCTTCTGTGGTGTCCGGAGCCTGCTCTGCTTGCCTTTAGCTGGAAGTTCCAGGACTTAATGCTACCTGGAGCAGTTCTCAAAATCAGTGACAGATACTGATAGGAGTTTGTGGCCTCCCAGCCCCACACCCCGATAGCCTGCATGTCTCCCAAGGGTACTGGGGTGTCTGCCTTGCATCTGACTGGCCAGTCAGGGGTATGGGGAGATCCTTGTTTGGTCTTGAGCCCTCCCTTGGGACTCTGTGTGTGTGTGTGTGTGTGTGTGTGTGTGTGTGTGTGTGTGTGTGTCTGTCTCTTTCTCTCTCTCCTCCCAGGTTGGCAACCATATCGATGTGCTCACTGGAAAGTGGGTGGCGCAGGACTCAGGCATCGGGGCTGGCGTGGACTCCTACTTTGAGTACCTGGTGAAAGGAGCCATTTTGCTTCAGGATAAGAAACTCATGGCCATGTTCCTAGGTAAAAAGGGCGGGGTAAGGAGGCTTTTGCCATGATTTCTCCCATGTACATGTGGTTTATTTATAAACTTTCAGTTGCTCCCAAGTGCCTACAGACTCAGTTCTGAGTGCCTGAGTCTGTATTCAGAGCCAGCATAGACTTACCACTGCCTCCTCGGTGCCCACTGGGACCTCTTCAGGCCTTCCTGCAAGAGCCACGTGAACTATGCTGCGTTCTCTGTGTGTAGCCCTGGGTTTCTTATTTCCTGGCCATGGCACATGTGTTCCCTTTGCCTAGAATACCTTTTTTCCTGTCCTCATGTGTCCAAATCTTATTCACCCTTTAAGGCCCAGCTGAAATATCACCTTGCCCACAAAGTAGCTTGATCCCTCCTTAGGATTTAGGGCCTTCAGCACCTTTTGTGCAGTCAGCTGTCATCCACAGTTAACAGCTCTTCCTACCAAGTGCAGTGTCTATGCCTTATTCATCTGTATATTTCCCACAGTGCTTTGCATGAGGTAGGTAGTTGATTAATGCCTGTTGAATAAAAGCGTTTTACCCTCTAGGCCCTTGGACACTAATAATAATGAAATTGAGGAATTGTTGGGCACCTAATAATAACTATTATTATAGCTACCACTTATTTATTCAGCAGATATTTAGTGAGTACCATTGATGGGTCAAGTACCACACCAAGCACCAAACATGGACTATTTCATTTCATCCTTACAGCACTATTTGAGATTGTCTTATTTATTTGCCTGTGTATTTGGTACTTCATTTAGATAATAATTTATTGTGCATATTTATTATGCACTATCCTAGTGTTGAGGATTCCACAATGAACAAAACAAAGTCCTGCCCTTCATGGATTTACAGTCTAGGAAGAGGTATAAGTTCAAGTTCCCACTAGAATGTAAGTGCCCCAGGCCTGCATTTTTGTCTTGTTTGCCACCCTGTAGGTACTCGTACCTAGTAGATGTGCAGTGAATATTGTTGAGTGAATGAATGACTGAACAATCCCATGAGGTGTATACGGATTACTCTCCCCACTCTAGAGATAATGAGACTGAGCCTTAAGAAGGAAAACCTTACCCAAGATTGTAGCTAGCAAGTGGTAAGGCTGGAGCTGGAAGTTGAGTCTGGAAGTTTAGCTCCAGAACCCATGCTCCTTCCTCTGTGCCTTGTTGCTTCCTAGTCTGCTTTGACCATCATATGGTCTTCCAAAAGTGTAAGTCCATGCTTCTGTGGCCAAGACCTGCCTTTCGACTCCATAATCACTGATGTGTCTTATTGCATCTCCTCTGCAGAATATAACAAAGCCATTCGGAATTACACCCGCTTCGATGACTGGTACCTGTGGGTGCAGATGTACAAGGGGACTGTGTCCATGCCAGTCTTCCAGTCCCTAGAGGCCTATTGGCCTGGTCTTCAGGTAGGAATGATCGGAGGGGTGGACATTTTTTTCTGGAACCGACAAAACAGGCTCATTCTGATGTATAAGTCAAATAAAGTATTTCAGTTGCTTGAGTGCTTGGGCTGGAGACAGAAGAGAGACCTAGAGTGAATTAGACTTAAGATTCTGCCAAGCTGAATTTTCCAAAGGGAGCTTTAAGGTGTCAGGAACTGAGCTTCCAGTTTGCTGTGAAATGTGATACCACTTAAAGTAGAAAGTGTCTTTCCAGGCTGGGTGGTAACAGCCATTGGCAACAACTGTTTCTCCACTGGACATTTCTGTCAAATCTCCTCAATCTTGACAGCGGGTCTGAGAAAGGGTGTGAAAGCAGCTGGGGCTGCCCTGCGTGCCATCATTATTGTTTTCCATTGCATGATCTGATGGAGTCACAGCTGGGAGGGCCGGATCCTGGAGCCCATCTAACCAGCCCCCTATGTATACCACAATATTTTTATAAGCTAGTTTCTTTTTTTATTTCAAGAAAAGGTAATATCGTGTAGATGGTGGTAAATTTTAAAAGCACACCAAGGAATACAGTGAAAGGTAAATCTCAAGCTCCCACCCTCAAACCCCTCCCCAGTCCAGCTCCTATTACCAGTTTTCTGTATACCTTTCTAGAAATCCATATGCATAAACACATGCATATTTATATCTACCTTTTTTTTTTACATAGATAGGAATATATCATGTACTTTTTCACTGAATATGTCTTGGAGATCATTCTTTATTGATACATATAGGTCAGTTTTACTTTTTTTTTTTTTTTAAGATTTTATTTATTTGAGAGAGAGAGAGAGCATGAGCAGAGGGGAGGGGCAGAGGGAGAAGCAGACTCCCCAGTGAGCAGGGAGCCCAATGCGGGCCCCATCCCAGGACTCTGGTATCATGACCTGAGCGAAAGGCAGACGCTTAACTGACTGAGCCACCCAGGCACCCCTCAGTTTTAGTTTTTAACAGATGCATATTTTCCATTCAATTGACATACTGCAATTCGTGTACTAGTCCCCCATTGCACTTTTAGCCAGCCTTCTTATTTTACAGATGGGGAACAGGCTCAGAGAAAACTTGTTGACAATATTAAATATAGGTCCAGCTCTTTCTAAGATACTCATGTTTTTTGCTTGAGTGCCCACCAAAAGAATTTTGAAGAACTATGGCGTCCCCTGTGTGTTTTTAATCTTATGAGTTTAAATAGTCGTATACCATCCCTTTTTCTCCTTGAACTCATATTTTTCATTCTCCTCCCCCAACAGGATTTTATCCTATTTGTTCTATTTTATGCTAGATAAATTTTACTGATACCCTCTTATGTCTTTGTAATAAAATTTCGGTATACATAGAAATTTAAAATACTTTAAAATTTCCTGTGACCATAGGCTCTGAGTATTAAATTTGTTTTCTTCTTGACTTGGTTATCATTAGTATGTAAATGAGTAAAGCAACATGAATAGCTTACAGTTTTCGATAAATAATTATAAAACATAAAGGCAATTTAATCAGAAATACATTTCTTAATGAGATTTCAGGGGCTTTTTTATTTTTAAGTAATTTGTGTATTTGTGTGTGAATAATTCATATTGCTAAAATGGGACATGGTTATGTATCAGAAGTTTTATTCCTCTTTTCATTTTTTTAGATGTAAGTGCTGAAGAGTCTTATGCACATAAATAAGTAGATAGGAGTGGAAAGAGTTTGATTATTGCAATGTCATTCAGTTCTTTTCTTTTTGAGTGTGGCCGGGGGCGGGGCGGGGCGCACGGAGGGAGAGAGAGTCTTAAGCAGGCTCCACGCCCAGTGCAGAGCCTTCAGGGCTCCATCTCACGACCCTGAGATCATGACCTGAGCCAAAATCAAGAGTTGGATGCTTAACCGACTGAGCCACCCAGGTGCCCATCATTCAGTTCTTTGCAGTCATTGACTTAATAGATTGAACCATATAAAATTGCCAGTATTCCACTGTTTGACCTACACAAATGGCAATGTTATATGGTTCATTCTTTATATGATGAAAATAATCATATGATCTGTCATCAAAAAACATTTTTAATGATCCCTCCGCTGACAACTTGACCAGTTCCTCCTCTAGTTTTTTGAAGGCAGAGTATTGGAACCATCTGATATGCAAAAGAATTGTTACACAGTGATTAGAGTCATTCCATTTTTTCAACACCTACACCAGTATTTTAAACTTAACCTAGTTTGGTGCTCAGGAAGTCTTTATTCCCCAGGACAGTGTTCCACAGGAAGGTTAGAGATTGCTGGTAGGTACACCTTGCAGAAGGTAAAATGGCAGAAGGCTAACTGTGAAGGAAACAGTGATAATAGATAGCCTGCCTTTGTGTTAACAAGCGTCTTTTCAGGCAGATCCATTTTAGGAAAGTAGAGGATCTGGAAATCTGTTGTGTTAAAACTATTTGTGACTACATTCCTCTTGGGAAACCTTGTATAACCTAGCCATGTCACTGATCACACCCTTTGACCCTGCGAAATTCCATTTCTGTGCATGTTCCCCAAGAAAATAATTCAAGAGGGAAAGATGCATCATGTATACAGATATTCCTAGCGGCAAAGTTCATGACAAAGAAAACCTAGAAATGATCAAAATGCCCACTAATGGAGGAACAAATGAATGATTATATTTTAATGGAATGGATCATTTTACAACTTTAAAAAATTAATATGTAAACTCCTGTGTTACATGAAGAGGTAGTGAACAAGAATCAAGAAAATGTGAAGAATGAAACATACTGTTGGACTGTAGTGAGAAATTAGGAGTGATAATTAAATTTTTAAAAAAATTTCTCTGAGTAGATTTAACAATAACAAAATACACACAAAGGCATTATATTATGTGTAAACTGATTACAACTCTAGAATTTTGGTTTTATATGTTAAGGAATAGAAGACAAAAATGTAAACGACTGCTACTGTAAGATTAAGAAGGTGATTACCTTTTTATTCCTGTACGCTTTAAAAAAATATTTCTATAACTCTGAATAGAATATAAATTGGAAAGGTAGATATCAAAACTATGTTATCTGTGTGGTGAGGTTAAAGGTGACTTTTTTTTATACTTTTATTTTTCAAATTTCCTAAAATAAAAATTAAGAAAATAAAAGAGGGTGTGATAAGGAAAGAAAGAGTTTCATCTCCGTTGGTGTGGTATTTTTTCCTGGCTTGACCAGGGATCATGGGTTCGTTCTCTGTGAGATTCTAAAAAACACTAGTAACTAACATTTATTGAACATCTAGTCAGGGCCTTGTAGTGTGTGTGACTGGCACATGGAGGTGATAAATATTTATAAGAGAATGATTTATGTGCCAGGCACTTTACACAGAATTATCACAGCACACGGAGGTAAATTTTGCTTTATAGATGAAGAAAGGAGGCTTAGATATGTTCAATTTGTTCATTCATTTATTCAACGAATATTTGAATGCCTGCAGTGTCCCAGGCGCTGCCCTTGTTCAGTTTATAGAGTGTGAGACACAAAATAAAAAATAAAGTGGACAAATGCATGAAATAGTAAGTCTCAATGAAGGAAACAAAATGAAAGGCTGAGAGAGAATGTTGGGTGGGGACCTGAACTTGAGGGAAGAAGGCCTGTCAGAGATGTGATAGTAAAGCTGGTATTTCAAGAATCCGACGTGGGGGATGATGTTCCAGACGGCGGAAATATCATGTGTGAAGGTCCTGAGACAGGAAAGAGTTGGGTGTTTATCAGAAACAAAGAAAAGCAGGGTGGCCACAGTCCAGGGGAGGGAAAGATCAGTCAGTGGAGGTCAGAAGCGCCCAGGTCGTGCAAAGCCTTGAGGGCCGTGGGCAGGTGTCTGGACTTTATGCCGGGCCCCTGGGAAGCCCTGAGGTCCGGTGTCTGTAGGAAGGCAGTTACTGTGGCTGTGTGGGGAGAGTGCACTGGAGAGGGGCATGAGGACAAGTGGTGGGGGCAGTGAGAGGACTGTGGAAGTGATCCCAGTGGGAGATGCTGGTGACCAGACCAGGTGGCGGCACCGGAGATACAGAGACAAATCGTGATGGTTTAGAAATGGAATTAACAGGAGTTGCTGATGGAATGGATGTGGGGGTGGGGGGAAGGGAGGTGTCAAGGATGACCATCATTTGTTAAGTGCCGTTTACTAAGAAGGGAGAGGTGACAGTAGGGAGGCAACTTTGTGGGAAAGCGAGGGAACCAAGAACTTCGGGAAATGTTAAGTTTGTCCTATCCACGAGGCATCCAAAGGAGATGTCAAAAATGTCAGATGTCAAAAAGCTGTTTCCCTGCAAGCTTATATTATTATTAATAGCTACTTAGCAACAGCTAGTAAAACTACAAATGGGTATACTTTCAGGCCCAGCAATCCTGATTCTGGACATTTGTCTTACAAGTAAACTTTGCATATGTTTGAGGTGCATATGTACAAGGTTATTTACTACACTATTGGTTGTTCTAGCAAATAGCAAAACACTGGAACCAATCCAGCTGGCTGTTAATAGAGAACTAGTAAAATCATGGTCCAAGCAGTGGAATACTATGCAACTGTGTAAACAGGAGGAGAGAGCTTTTTATGTACTTACATGAAAAATCAAGATCTGTTGTTAAATGGATTAAAGAAAGTACAGAACTGTATATTTAATAAGCGATTTTTATGTGGGGGAAAATAATATACTCTCACACATATTTATGTTTATAAACTACTACAAATTCATCTGGGGTATGGGTAGGAATGAGACTTAGTAAGATCAACCTTTTTCTTATTCTTAAAATTTTGAAACAGATAGCTGACTTAGCTATTTAAAAACTGTAGTGGCCAGCATTGACTGAGCAGGGACTTTGAATACAACCTCTGTCCCTCACAGTAACTTAGAGGCTTTGTGTTTTGCATCGGAGAGATGAGGCTCAGAGAAGGTAAGTGTCTGGCCCAGGGCCAAACAATGAATAAATGGCTGACTCGGTTTGATTGCAGGCTTTTGTGGCTCCAAAGCCTTTGCTGTTTCTTCCCCGAGGTTGTGTGTGAGGTTTGATACATGGAGTTTTTTTGTATATGGGTTTTTATGCCTGGTGGCTGCCCGTTTGACAACCACTTCTCTCCTGCAGAGCCTCATTGGGGACATTGACAATGCCATGAGGACCTTCCTCAACTACTATACTGTATGGAAGCAGTTTGGGGGGCTCCCAGAATTCTACAACATTCCTCAGGGATACACAGTGGAGAAGCGAGAGGGCTACCCTCTTCGGCCAGGTAAGCAGGATCTCTGGCCCATCACAACCCGCAGGCTCTGGTTCTCTGAACCCCAAGCCCTCAGGTTTCTATGAGGCTCCATGTCTCACAAGTGCTCACAAGCTAATTTTTTCCCATCTGATGGAAGTGGCTCTGGGTGATTTTCCTGGTAGGAATTGTTTACCCATATATTTTCTGATAAGGAAACTGAAGCTTAGGGGTTTGAGCTGGCTTTCCCAAGACTAAGTGTACGATGTAGGACTGGAACCCAGGCCTCTTAACTAAATTTTAGGCTCCTTCAAACTCGGGCAAGTGAGTGCAAAGGGAAGAGCCAGGTTGACTCCTTTTGAGTTCTTGCCATCAGGATTTCAGAAGCGTAGACAAACTTCTAAGTCACTGGGTCAGGTGAGTTATGCCTCTATAATATGGAGTGTTAGAACTCTGGAATGGACCTTAGGAATGAATCATCCGGTCTTGTCCACCTCCCCATTTGCAGCCCAGAAATCAAGGCGTGGAGAAGGAAGGTATTACACACTCAATAACTATCTTAGAGTTCCTTTCCAGCTCTGATCCTCTGATTCACTGCAGGAAAGTTAAACACTGCAAGAAGGAGAAGGGGAAGGGGGCCAGAGGAAGGAAGCTTAGTCAGCACACATAGTCATCCCCCACCCCAAAATGGGTTACATTTCCATTGTTAGGCTCTTCCCACCTTCCCACCTGAATGCCTTTGAGCTGTGGGACAGGCCTTCTGGTGACTTCTGCCCATTCTGCCCTCCTCTACCCCATTTCCTTCCTCCTCTAGCTCAAGAGATTGTCGTGGGAGTTGTGGAGGGGACAGAAGAGGGAGTAAAACAGCAACAGCAAGTTAGTCACTTTGATTCCTCGAGGCTGCTCTTGGTATTTCTCATGCATTTATTCTCACAGCTTTTTCTTTTCTCTTCCTTTCCTTTCCTTTCCTGTCCTGTCCTGTCCTTTTTTTTTTTAAGAGAAAACTCTCAGAAGGTGTCATACCAGTGTTACCAATAGATAAAATGAAGAGACAGTTTGGGACTAAACGTAGGATGTAGGCTTGTGCATTCTCAGGGTTAGAAGGAGCCTGAGAGCCTTCTAATTGAGATCCCCTGTCATTGTACAAGTGGTTATCTGGTCTTTCTTCAGTTAACACCAGTGACAGGGAGCTCATTATTTCCAGAGGCACCCTGTTCATTTGCAGGGTAGGCTGGCCGGACGGCATCAGTGGAAAGTAAGGCAGCATAGCCAGGAATCCAGTAATGCCTTAGTCCGGTCACCCTTCCTGCCCTAAAACAATAGCGAATGGGAGATAAGGTACTACTCTTTCATTAGATTGACCAGTGTCTTTACACTCTGGTACATGCCTCTGATTGGCAGTATTGAAACACAGAACCTGACCTAAAGGTCTCTGAGGGCCTTTACCTCCCCCTAAGTCCAAGTCTAAGCCTTGGGCTGTCACCCTGTTCTAGACAGTTGGCCAATATACAAGAAATTAAAGCAATGACAGCCGATGTAGACCCATGTATGAGGAAGAGAAAACAAGATGGCTGGGCCCGGGGTGCACTGAGCCAGCCAGCTGCTAGCAGCAGGACAAGAGGCTTCCCTGGAGCACTATCTTTTCTTTGAACTCACACAGTGTGTTCTCTTACTAGTAAATGTGCCCCCACCTATGTCTTAGAATATGAGCAATCAGATTAGCAATTGTCTAGAGACCTGTGGGGTAAAGGGAGGGAGAGGTGGGGGAGAACTGGGAGACAGGCAGAGATCTTTTTTCGAAAGTAAGAAATAGAGTTTGCAGTAATAAATCAAAAGGGGAGAAAAGTACTGATCAAGGGCCAGGAGGAAACAGGGAAGGAGATCAGGAGGAGAGGTTGGTCTAGGGAGGGGAGAGTTCTCTCCTCTCTGAGAAGAGACGGGTGAAGAAATAGAAAACTCTGTTAAGCTGTACCCTCCTCCACTGGGGCCACCCTGGAAGTCAAATCTTTCTATTCCATACTAGCTCTTCAGATATTTGAAAGCAGTAAACACATCTTCCTGGGTTTTCTTTTCTCCAGAATAAACTTTCTCATTGGGATCAACTCCTATTGCCTAATATTTATCTGAAAATGGGGCGCATGTCTGAATGTCAAATTCCAGTTGGGTTTGTAGAGTCAGACGAGACTATTACTTTGTTCTGGGCCCAGTGAACTGGTGGCTATTTCTTTTGTTAGATTGAAGATTGGCTCTTGAATATCTTAACCTTCATCTTTTTTTTTTTTTTAATCTTATTTATTTGACAGAGAGAGACACAGCGAGAGAGGGAACACAAGCAGGGGAAGCGGGGGAGGGAGAAGCAGGCTTCCTGCTGAGCAGGGAGCCCGATGCGGGGCTCGATCCCAGGACCCTGGGATCATGACCTGAGCCAAAGGCAGACGCTTAACGACTGAGGCACACAGGTGCCCCTTAACCTTCATCTTTTTGTCCATCCCATCTCAGAAAGGGCCTCACGCTCAAGTCATTGAGTTTTAGTTTTAGGGTCAGGTTAGGCTATGAGTGACAGAAAGTGAGTAGTAGCTTAATTAAGGTAGACATTTATTTTTCTCTCACTTCTGGCCTTATGTGTCTCTCTGTGGTGTCAGGGACCTTAACCTCACACCTGGCTACTGGAAGAGTTGTCAGTCTAAGCAGTTGTGAGCTCTAGTTAAAGATTCTGTTAGTAAGGGAAGAAGGAGGGGACAAATACTGGGAGACAGGGAGTAGCCTTTGCCACCTCCCCCTCCCAGAACCTAGCTGCCTTTCTCTCCCTTGGGATGGGAGTTTATGGTCAGTTTTAATGCTGATCTCCACTAAGCTTCAGGCTTTGAGTATATTGACTGTGGAAATTCAGCACTGTGTGAGCTATCCTGTATTCCTCCTGGTTGGGGCCCTGTGGACAAGGTGTGGAGGGGAGGAGTCTCTCACTGCCTGAAATGGGCCCTGAGCCTTCCCAGCTCAGCCCCTGGATGAGAAGGGTCTGCCTTGGACTTCACAGAACTCATTGAGAGTGCAATGTACCTCTACCGTGCCACGGGGGATCCCACCCTCTTAGAACTCGGAAGAGATGCTGTGGAATCTATCGAAAAAATCAGCAAGGTGGAGTGTGGATTTGCAACAGTAAGTGTTTTCATGGGCCCAAGAGTTGAGAAGTGTCTCCCCCTGCTGCTAAGGAGCCTCTGGAATATTAACACTGAAGGGACCTTAGAGAGATGTACATACGCCTTTATTTTACAAGGGTACATTTTGTGAAAAGTTTTGTGGAAAGTCCTGTAAGGTGGATTCTAGAAGGGAAACAGAGTCCCATAGCCTTATATTCAAACCTGGGGGTCCTTAATGAAATAGTCCTAGTAGTTTCACTACTAGGTGTTTACTGAATGTCTTTTATGCACCAGGCACTATGCTAGACCGAGGGTTCTAGCAATGAACAAAGACCAAGCCCCTGAGCTGACATTTTAGTAGGAAAAACAACAAACATGTATCTGGGAGACAGAAAGAAGACCAGTGTGGCTGGAATGGAGTGAGCAAGGAGGGAAGGGGAGAAGAGAGAAGTCCCAGAGGGAGGCAGGGGCCAGATCGTGTAGGGCTGGGGAGAGTTTACATTTTGTTCTGCTTAAAATGAGAAGCCTTTGTAGGATTGACAGCAGAGCAGTGACATGATCTGACTTGTATTTTAGAAAGATCACTCTGGCTTCCCCAGTGAAAAGGGATTGAAAGGGTCAAGGTTAAGAGCCATGTCACATCCTTAGAGGACCCAAGCAGGCAAGCTATAAATAAACTATCATTACAGACATGTAAAAACCAGATGTGTAAGAAAATTGTCTGGAAGAAAATTCACCAAAAAGTGTACAGAGCGTTTTTAGTGTATGGGATTAAAAACAGACCAAAAAAAAGCCTTCTTTTTCAAAATTTTGTAATGTGGTTATATTCTACAAGTAGAATATATATTTTTTAAAAAGACCTATGTATGTAGAGGGAAAATAAAGCAGTGATATGTTTTAGTGTCTAATGTGTTGTATTTTGTGAAAAGCCAAAGTGGATAAGTCCACTGGGGACTTCTTAAGAACTTTTGACTTATTTCCATGAAAATGAAAGCCCTCTGGAGGTCTTCCAAGGCAAATGATGGGAATAGGCATCAGACTCCTTGGCCTTTGACAAATAATAATTCTTGGTACATAAGTCCATATTTTAGTCACATTTTTTTGTGAAAAATAGTTGTCCACTGAGAATTAGTTTTAAGAAAATGTATCTCTAATTCTGAGACGTGAATATAAATGTAGGAAGTAAACTTACTCATCCATGGCTGTAAACTTAGTATGAATTTTTCTTCATAAAGACTTCTAATTAGTTATTACAGTAGCAAAAACTTGGTAACCAACTTCATGCCCATCAAAGGGGATTAGCTAAGTAAATGACGCTACATTTTTACAGTGTCAGTAAAGGGGATGACTCGATCTGTGTATGGTCACAACAAAGGTAGGATAAAGGGGATAGGAACTGTCCTATCACCTGGAGAGGTCAGGGAAGACCCTGTGATGAGAGGGTATCTGAGCAGAGAGCTGAAGGCAGTGAGGGAGTGAGCTGTCTGAAGGACAGAGTGCTCCAGGCTGAAAGAACAAGCAATGCGGAGCTCCTGGGGCAGGAGTGCGCGCGCTTGCCAACTGAACAGAAAGCCCAATGGCTGGACCGGCAAGAACAAGGGAGAGCCTCAGAGGGGTCAGGGAGAGAGCAGGGGACAGACCTGGAGGACCTGTGAGGCCTTATCATGATAAGGACTTTGGTTTGAGAGTCTACATGAAGTGGAATGTCAACAGGGTTTTCACTGGAGGAGTGACAGCTAAGCCTTACCCTCTACCTCTGCTTGAGGGTTGCAACACCTGGGGTTGGCACTCAGCTGCTCAGTGGCAGAGCAGGAATTCCTGATGTGGGCCCCCGGCCCCCTCTGCTACCCCATGACGCTGGGTCTGACTCGCTTCCCTCTTCCTCGTGGCAGATCAAAGATCTGCGAGACCACAAGCTGGACAACCGCATGGAGTCTTTCTTCCTGGCTGAGACCGTGAAATACCTCTACCTTCTGTTCGACCCGGCCAACTTCATCCACAACAATGGCTCCACCTTTGACGCGGTGATAACCCCCTATGGGGAATGCATCCTGGGGGCCGGGGGTTACATCTTCAACACAGAAGCGCACCCCATCGACCCCGCCGCCCTGCACTGTTGCCGGAGGCTGAAGGAAGAGCAGTGGGAAGTGGAAGACTTGATGAGGGAATTCTACTCCCTCAAACGGAACAGGTCGAGATTTCAGAAAAAAACGATGAGCTCGGGGCCGTGGCAACCGCCAACAGGACCAGGCACATTCTCCTCACCCGAAAACCAAGACCAGGCGAGGGAGAAGAAGCCTGCCAAGCAGAAAATCCCACTGCTCAGCTGCCCGAGTCAGCCCTTTACCTCCAAGTTGGCATTACTGGGACAGGTTTTCCTGGACTCCTCATAACCACTGGATGATTTTTTTTCTTTTGTGTTTGAATTATGATAATAAACCTGCTTTTGACAATTGTGTTTTTCTATTTTACGTATTGGGTTGTCTCAGGAGATTTGGTTCAAAGAAAAGATTCATGGCTAAAAAACCTGGTGAATCTAATTTCTTTTTCTCATGCAGTTGGAGAAACAGCTGAACCCAAAGTCAGCCCGCTGCATGACCCCGAGGGTTGATGATTGAATCTCCCTTCCTTTCAAAGCTCCCCTCTTCTGGTATCTCTGGGAAGGGTGTGGTTATGAATGTATTTGTCATGTCAAGCCCAGCCTGTGCTTCTGTCCTTTAGCACAAACCACTGTTGCGCACCAGCCCCAGCCCTAGTCCAGTGTGGACCACAAGGTTTTTATTCTCGGGAAAACTAAATTTTAGCGGAGAGAAATAAATTAGCTAATGTAAAATCACATTGTGGGAAGTGCCATGAAGCTAATAGTATGCATGCTAGAAAATGATGAGAGAGGTAATCTACCTTAGACAGGGTGGGCAGGGAAGGCCTCTGAGGAAGTGAGGTTTTAAACATTTGATTATGGAAAATTGGCAACAAACAGAAGTGTGGAGAACAGGATAATAACCCCCTATCCACACTAGATCATTTCATCCATAAGTATTTCAGAATGCACCTCCAAAACACACTATAAAAATCAACAATTATTCCTTAATAATCTCCAAGTCTCTAATTATGTTCAATTTTTTTGTTGTTGTTTTATAAGTATAGTTTGTTTGAATTAGGATCCAAACAGGGTACATGTATTTGCAATCAGATGTTCTATTTCTGAATTATCTTCTCGTCTATAGGTGTTCTCTTTTTTTATTTTTTTAAAAACTAATTTTGTTGAGATACAATGTACATACAATAAATTGTACCCAGCTCATACATTTTTATAAGTTTTGGCAAACTTACACACCCATGTAACCACCACCACAATCAAGATAAAGAACAGTGCTCTCCCACAGACCTTTCTGGGATGATGGAATGTTCTAATAGAACAATTAGAATGATTTCACTGTCCCATAGAGTAGCTACTACTGTTGAACTCTGGAAATGTGGCTCTGTGACCGAGGAACTGAATTTATTAATTTTTAGTAGACTATATATTTTAGAAGAGTTTTAGGTTCACATCAGTCTTAAGCAGAATGTATAGAGATTTCCCATATACCCATTGCTCCCACGCCTGCATAGCCTCCCCCATTACCAACATCCCCTACTAGAGCCGAACATCATTATAATAAATGATCCTACAGTGACACACCATTGTCATCCAGAGTCCATAGTTTACCTAAAGTTCACTCTTGGTGTTGTACATTCTCTGGGTTTTGACAAATGTGTAATGACATGAATTCACTGTTATTGTATACAGAGTCATTTCCCTGCTCTAAATTCCTCTGTGCTTCCCCTATTCATCCCTTTCTTCCCCCAACTCCTGGCAACCACTGATCTTTTTACTGTTTCCATAGTTTTGCCTTTTCAGAATATCATATAGTATGCAGCCTTTTCACATTGGCTTCTTTCACTTAGTAATATGCATTTAGGTTCCTTCCATGCCTTTTCATGGTTTGATAGCTCATTTCTTTTTAGAACATTGTTTGGATGTACAAATTAATTAAACCATTCACCAACTGAAGCGTCCTGGTTACTTCCAAGGTTTGGCAAATTATGAATAAAGCTGCTGTAAACACCTGTGTGCCGGGTTTTGTGTGGATACAAGTTTTCAACCCCTGTGGGTAATCATCAAGGAGCATAATTGCCGGATCATACGGTAAGAGTATGTTTAGTTTTGTGAGAAACCACCAGACTGTCTTCCAAAGGGGCTGTGCCATTTTGCATTCCCACCGATAATGTATGACAGCATTCCTGTTGCTTCACATTCTCACCAGCATTTGGCATTGTTAGTATTTTGGATTTGGGCCATTCTAATTGGTGTGTGGTAGTAGGTCCTTGTTTTAGTTTGTATTTCCCTGATAACACATGACGTGGAGCATGTTTTCATATGCTTTTTGCCATCTATGTATCTTCTTTGGTGAGGTGTCTGTCAAGGTCTGTGGCCCCTTTTTTAATCAAGTTTGTTTTTTTTTAAATTGTTGAGCTTTAAGTGTTCTTTGTATATTCTGGATAAAAGTTCTTTATCGTATATGTCTTGCAAATCCTTTCTCCCAGTCTGTGGCTTATCTTTCCATTCTCTTGAACT